CTGCGAGGACGTCGAGAGCTCTTTGTAATTTGAGGTGCGAATCCACAAGGATAACTGTATCGTCAGCATGTTAAATTTTACATTTTGTATATTTGATGATGCAATAACAACCAACTGTCAAGATATTACCGACCAGCAATAAGAATCACTCGAAATTGTAATCTATTTCTAAAACAAGCAGGGGTTTGAGCTTATCCGACAGAAGGCATGTGACCGTTATTCTTTGCGTTATTAGTCTTTTTCTTTTTCTTTTTTTTTAATCAATTCCATTGGTAGTAAGCTTCCGAATAGATTAGTAGCAATTCCCTGCCCTTGTGACAGGCATCCAACCATAACCACATGCTACAGGGTGTGTACAGAAAGATATTCAACCTTTTAATAAAATAAATTATAAAAAAGGTTAAATATCTCCGAAACTGCTCGGTCGATTGAGCCCGTCCAAAATACCAACCTTCAATATTGTAAGAGCTATAATCATACCAAATTTCAACTTGCAATCTTCATTTTTTCTCAAAATATCGTGCGTACAGGAATGAAAAAATTTAAAAAATGGCAATATGTCGAAAATTTTGTATGAATGCGTATACAGATTTTAATTGATCTAGATAGAAGCCATGGAGACGAGCATTTTGAAAAAAGGAAAAAATCAAATGCGTTGAGTATAGTTTATGAAATATTTATACAAAAGGTTGCACATCTCAGGAACCGTTTGGCCGCTGGCGCCCGTCCAAAATACTAATCTTCAGTATTATAACAGCTAAGAACGTGCCAAATTTTAACTTGATATCTCCATTTTTTATCAAGTTATCGTACGTACGAGATTGGTGTTGAAAAAAAATGGAAAAACAGCAATATTTTCAAACTTTGTATCAACGGGTGTATATATTTTGATCGGTCTAAATAGAGACCATTGACACGAGTATTTTGACGGAAAAACATTTCAATCGGTGCAGCAGTTTTTGAGATATTGAAGAAAAATGAAATTTAAACAAGTTGTTATATCTCAGGAACTACTGGACCGATCGGGCTGAAACAGCGCATCAAAATTAAGCTTAATCATAGCTACGACGAGCCAAAATTTCATATTTTTATTGACAAAATTTACTGTGTTTATGTTAAATTTTCTATAAATCAATGACCAAAAACTCAAGAAAAAATCTCTTTCAATGATGATTTTTTCAGTGATCGTTACGAAATCATTTTTCTTTAATATAAAGATTTTCAAAACTTTATGACGAATGAAATTTTCATTGGTGGCAATGGACACCCAAAAAAAATACTAAATCATTTACGTAGTAAAAATTGAGCATCGGTAGAGTAGAAAGTGTTAGAATAAAAGTAGAATTTAATTTGGCATGAGTAATTTTCATATTACAAAAAATTATTTGCTTATGTTCTACTTCCTATGCTCACTCAATAAGATTTCAATCCATTGAATTCCCTAGAAATGTGTAAATATTACCTTATCAAACCAAAATAAAACTCATCAATGCTGTTCCTCTTCATTGAAACCAGGGTGAGCCCATTCTAAGAACGATTCAATTCCCACTTTTTCTACTCATTCACCTCTCTTCATTTTATTTAATCTTTTCCTCTTTCACTCTTTTATCGTCCTACAAACATCCTATTTATGTTGCTTTCATTATTTTATATGAAACAAAATAAAAGAAACGAAAAAAAAAAAAACAAAAATGAAGAACAGGGCCACGAAGAATTATATCCAGTGTTCCTTAGACGTAAAGCTACTGTCGATCGTATTTCCTTGGTAAGGTTTTTAACAAGGACCGAATGTATTGGAATTACATATACATGATATGCTTGCGTATGTATAAGAACACTCATAGTTACGCAGTTGATTCTAAAGGAAAAAATGAAGCAAAAAAACACACAGAAATCATATACTGAGGTTGGTTACTGGAACCGGAAGTTGAGGGAGAACAAAAACGCCTGGCCAGACCACTGTCCTTTTTCTCATTTTTCCCCTTTTTTCCCATTTTTTCCGCTTTTACCTTTGCGCAACAAACCTGGAGGTTCTAATCGAATGGGTCCGTCGGTCCGTTGATCGTTGCATTGATTCATTTTTATGTTTCTGTTTTTTTCTTCTATTTGGTTCAGTTTCCAGTCAAAAGATCCGTTACAGAACGAAAAACAAGAGATTAGGAGAGGAGACGAAGCAGTTGATTAATAACAAGGGAAGACTAGTGATGTTCTTATTCCCGGATGGAATCATTGTAATAATACAAATTGAAAAATTCCCAGATTTCTTCTTGAAGTGACTTGAAATGAGGAAAAATAAAATTTCTCGGCGATCTTTATACACGGAGAGAAATTTTTGATAAAAATTACCCTACCGTTCTATAAAAATGTATCATGAGTCATCGTTTCTTCATTTCTATCCCGAAATTTAGTAAAAATTAGTGTATGATGATCACATTTTATTCTACGTCAGAGAAATTTTATCCTGACAAAAATAAAAATTACCGTGCCGGTAGAGTGAAAATTACTGTACCGGTAGAATAAAATTTACCAACCGTTCTAGAATTTTCGTTGTTATCTACATAAACATTACTGGACTGGAAGGGTAAAATTTATTATGCGTCAGGATAAAATTTCTCTTACGTAGAATAAAATTTGATCATCATATATTATTTTTTACTAAATTTCGGGATAGAAATGAAGGAACGATGACTCATGATATACTTTCATAGAACGGTAGGGTAATTTTTATCAAAAATTTCTCTCCGTGTAGAATATGTTCATGTTTCTTTGTTAATCTAATCAACGGTTTCTAAATTTTCTTATACCATTACCTTTAGTAGTTCAAATTGACCATAAAGTGAATTAAAATGACTCTGCATGTTCTGGAATATGATTTCTGCATGGTTGTGAGCTCAAGAGATGACGGAATTCAATCAAATACCTATACACACACTGATAGAATGATTCATTTATTCCAAACGAGATTCGTTATCTATTAACGAATGGTAGAGTTGAATATAACCAAATGAATATTCGTTAATAGTTAACAAATAGTTCACTTGAATGGCGAAAGTCAAGTCAAACAAGGCTCCTCAAATATACATTCGTTAACTATTAACGAATGAACATTTGGTGGGACCGTATAGACTCTAACCTCCAACCAAAATCCATTCGTTAACAATAACTAATCCGTTCTATCAGTGCATCAATGAGATTGCAAATTGAAAAGGGGTTCTCTAGCGAGGACTAGAAAAATATTTGTGTTAAAAAATCGACATCCGACTGTGATGTGTGATATACTGATAATTCCAAATCCTTAGCATCTAAATTCTGCATAAAACCAATCGTAATTATGTCGAATTTATAGTATTTACTAGCGCCGCCGCGGCCGCAAGTGGCCGCGACGTTCATGCAGTTACGTCATGTCTTTTTTTCATTTTTTTCCTTGTGTTTCTTTCAAAAATTAATGATTCATCATCATTTTATTATACTGAGTGTTAAGATTAAAGAAAACAATGCTTATCGATTCATCACCTGTTCGATTTCAATATTTCAATAAGTGATTCACTATATAAGTCTGAATTTCTGTGCTCTTTGAATAAAGTTCCAATTATGCTTATAATTGAAGTTCTACTCAGAGAACAAAACAATAATTATTAAATTTCTCACATCCCATCATTTTTCAATCTTCGCCACCCTCTTTATTCTTCTTTACACCTTTACAACAGCATTCAGTTATTTTTCTGGGAAAATTATATCACCGATTCTCATGCTCTTTCGCTAATTCGGAGTATCTTCTCCTCATTCATGCTCTTTTCACAATCCTATTAGATATTATAGAACTTGAAACTTGGATGAATCATCTGAAATTTTTTCAAATTCTCCATAAAATTCCAAAATTCTTGTGAACTTTTTTTGAAAATTTTTTATGAAATTGTTCAGAAAATCCGAGGAATTGCTCGAATTTTTCCAATTAGGGTCTTCTTTCTCATTTCCATCAATCAGAGTGCAGTAATGCAGTATAAGCAGGGTGATGGACAAGTAAAATATCACCGGTATTTTACTACGTTTTCTACATGTGTAAAAACAAGTAATTTACCAAGGAGGTCTCAGACCTTTTTGACCACGTGTGTGCGTGATTGAGAACAACAGTTATTTCGGTACGAGAACAACTCCATTCACAGGGTTGCAAGGGTCATGCCTTACAAGGGTCAAACATGGCAATGGTTGTACCTCGCGAGGGTCAAATGTTGTAACGGTTAAACAACAGTGGTAGATAGAGGACAATCTCAAAGGTCAAATGACAACAAGCGGCAACCGAGGAGGCAGAAAAAGACAATCACAAAAGGAGCAGGAAGGAAAATCGTCAAGGGTCCAACGGGAGACATGATCCTTGCGAGGTATAACCCTTGCGACCTCTGAACATCGCAACGTTGACCCCTTGTTTGGTATGACTGTTGCGAAGTTTGACCCTCACGAGGCAGGATCCTTGCGATATATGACCTGTGCCACATCTGACTCTCGCGAGGCATGATCTTTGTGAGACATGACCCTCATGATGTTTGACACTTGCTAGATATGACCCTCGTGACCTACCCTCGCAAAGTACAACCCTGGTGAAATTCAGTTACGAGAATTACTGAACTGATAGTCGGGTTAAGGGGTATTCTACCAGTTATTTCCCTTTTTTATACCATTTAGGTCTAAATTGCCAGTATTCTACTATGTACCTTAGAAAAGTCCGATTTTCAGTGAACGACCCAATTCTATATATGTATAAAGATAAACCATGCAATCGGGAACAGATTTTAAGTCATTCCACAATTACGCAGGTCACTAAGATCTACAAATAAATCAACTCCCAAACAAACCTACACATAAAATTAAGCTCGGTCTATGAAAACCACCAACACATTGGGGAGTAGATATTACCATCACTTATAGTGAAACAAGAGAACTTTGTCGATCCCTTGGAGACAGTAATACCACCTGCTAATGTTTTGTTCATATTTTTATCGTAGAAGAGTGAAGAAGAGCTGCCAGAGTGCTTGGATAGGAGTGAGGTATGCAGCAAAGTTGATTTATATGGGGATCCGTGGGTGGAGAGGCAGTGCAGATGTCCTGGTGGACGCACATGTCCGAGCACTATACATGCTGACGATGGACACACGATTGTTGATAAGACCAGGCAGTATAAGCTCTGTGAACCTGTTAAGAGACTACCTATTTGTCGTTATTTCAAGTAAGTAGTGGGAAACTTTTTTTTAACCGCCTCCGGGCCCCTTTTCGGGTCCCACTCGCAACCTTCCACCCACTAGACTTACGTCTATAGCCCATTCGGCTATCAGTAGAAACGGGTAGAATCCTTCTTGTAGGCAATTCAATTACAATAGCAAAGGATAATTAGTAATTCATGCATGTATATCTCACAAATAAGGGAGTCAATGAGAATTCGTCGAAAAAGTATTTTTGATAACCCATTTTACTACAAGAAGGTCTCTTGACAATTGTCAGGAGAATTTGAATTCTCGTATTTGTACTTGCCAAAACGGACGTATAGTGAAATTTGAATCATTTTTTTTAATTTGAAATGTATCGGTATACTGAGAAAAAACTTCAGGAAAAAATACATGGCAAAACGTAAAAGTGATGCGAAATGCTCTTTCGGAAATTTGTATGTGAAAACTCGATAAAAATCTGAAGCGAAAAATATTTTTCCCTCTTAAGTTCTGGAAATTTTATGCACCGAAATGAAATTTTTGCTTGTTAAAACGTGATGTTTATGTTTATGTGATTAGCATGGTACTTTTCTGCACCTTTTTTCTTCGTGTAATGTGTGATATCTGAACAACTCATCAAGATAGAACGATAGAATGTTATGTATAAATTTCTCTCGCCTGCAGAGAAAATCCCTCGTCATTTCATTTTGAGAATTGATAGTTTTTTGGGTCATCATTGATGGATATGAATTTTATATTCGTTCTAATCATTACGATTATAACTTTCACAGAGATATCACATGGACATTAGCCCCAGGAGTTGGTCCCAATAATTCAACAGTTCAGCAAGTTCACTGTAGGTGTCGTCCAGGAAGTGTTCCTTATCTCGTAAGGAGATCAACCCACAAACTACCCCAAGGCAATGCCACCTTCATCTACGCCTTTGCCTGCTCACCACAGAGTGTAAGTAACTCTACATCATCAAATCATTTACTGAACCTCCTTAAGCTCAGTTGCAACATTAAAGTCGATATTGTTATTAATTTAATAAAAAGTCAAAGTTTACTTTATCAATAAATTCTAAAACATCCTCTCCAATGCAGAAAATCTCTGCAGAGATTATTACTTGGATATCTCCTTTACTAACGATGCGTGCTCGAAGAAAGTTTTCACTTGAAATGAGCTAAATTTTTCTCAATTTTACTCTCCACATTCTGAGCTGCTGAAGATTAAAAATCATTTATTCAATTTCGCTCTCTTCTTTAGACCTCTCTAATCAATAGTTAATTAATGGTTCGATAATTTTAATTTCCAGCGCTTGAGGTGTCAACATAAAGAACCCTGTCGTCTCTTCACAGTGCGCAAGCGACGAAGCTCCCAACTGGAAGAAGTTAACGCGTCACCTCTCTGCCAATGTCCAAAGGGCAATAGATGTCCCAGGAGACACACAGACCCAGGCTCTCTTCCAGCAAGATCATACCGTGGCGCCCTTGAAATCAAAACCTACAGTGGTTACTGCGTCCCAATTCATCACACCGAGCCAGTCTACACCGTTTGATCATCTCTTACTCTAAAGGATTAACAATCCCAATGATTATGACCAATCTCAAACAATTACAGTAGACTCTCGTTATAGTCGCACTCACGGGGCTGTAGGGGCAGCCGATTCTGAGAATGGGACTGTATTTCTCTTTCCCCACCAGGCGCTCACGGTAAGCCTAAATTCCGGGAATCGGGAGCGATAAGAAAATAAATTTTACTCCAATTATTTTTCTCTTCAATTTGCATTGAACATTTTTATTAAATATAAAAATTATTTTCATTAAACACTTTTATTAAATTAATGAAATGAATAGAAATATTAATAACATCGCATTGTTCAATACACTCCAAAATTTATTCACTTCATTCAAATAAAAAGCAGGATTATGCACCACTGCAAAGACCCTCTCTTCGTGACAGTCAAGAGTGAACTGAATTTCTCTCTCGCAAATTCATTTTTCCTAAATTTTATTTCCCGAATTTCTTAGAAATGCAAAACAAAGCCCATTCCGAGAAAACACAGGGGCATTTAAATCCACACCTCGGAGGTGGTACGGAGTGGGGGAAGCGCTCGAGCTCGAAAAAATCGATGAGGGGAAATGCGACTATAACGAATGCGACTATAACGAGAGTCTGCTGTAGCAAATTATCGATAGATCGATTTCTTGCTCTACCGACTATGGGTAAATCATTATGAATAACGAGATGAGAAATTGGCGAATAGAAAAACCATGAAGGGTAAAACCTTTCAACGGTCACTCTATTTAACCTCCTTATCATCGCACCATTTTTGCCACGAAATAGTATTAGAAGTTGAGTGAAACACTTAATAGTGTTGAGGAAATATTTTAATTTTTTTCAAGGATTTGAAAAATTTTCACCTTGATCATTCAGCAAAACCTCTGCAAAAGCTTTAAGTGACAATTGTCGTACATTGAGAGGATAATATACATTTTTCAAAAGAATGTATGTGATAGTGAATGAATTGTGGAAAGTGTGCAGCAATGAATAATCGGCTATATCAAAATTGATTTATGAAGCTTTATTTTCTATGTATTTGGTGATTTACTAGAATGTTTATTGACCGACACATGTTTATTTGCTGGAGTGACTTTTCGTAAATTTTCACTTGGAAATCGTGATAACAATCTTTCGAATACGAATAAATTTCACTTTTTCAGTGTACAACGTCACAATTTTATCCATTAAGGTCAAAGAGATGTTTTCTTCTAATTCTGAATTAATTGTATAAACAATGTATAGATGCATTCCATGTATTGTCAAACGATGAATCTCAACGATTTTATCATTTTTTCTCGCATTTCCATAATTATTATTCCTTTCTTATTATTTTTTTTACAATTATGAATTATTATGCAACGATTCAAGAGTAGAGATAAAGAGTTATTTTCGTATGTTATATTATCAGCATTATATCGGTTAATTTTTAATTTAGGTGACAAGTTTTTTTTTGGCGAATTGACATTTTGAATGCCATTATCTACGTTCATAAGGAGAGAATGAAAGTAAATTTACATAAATGATGATACTGAGCTGTATATATGATCCGCTTTCTGAGTGATTATTGTAAGTTGAAGGAAATCGACGTGAACGTTGTTTTTCAATGTTGAGCGAACGTTGATTTGAGATTGACGTTGATCATGTTTGTATAATTCCCACTAGTTTAATGAAATATATGGCAATTCTGTTAACTAATCGTGTACTTTTTATTATTTCATGTTTGACGGCAGAAAATCAGCAGAATGAAGTATTTAGATTTTTATGTTTTTAAGGAGATTCGAATACTTTGGCTATTTTTTCTCCAGTGAAAAGCTTTTCGACTTTTGTTGTCTAACATCAGAGCTTTTATTTGAGCTCCATTTGACTCTAAGGTTTTGGATATTTTACAATGACTTTATTATTTAAATTTTGCCTGAATTTGAATCTCGATGTTGAACCGATAGAAAACGTTTTTTAAATCAGAAAAAATTGAAAAGTTTATTTTTGGAGGAAGATTGATGAAATAATGTTAAAATTGCAATTTTTGAAAATTACGAGCATTTTCTATAAATAATTTATAAACACTTCATTTTTCACCATGCAAATCATTTGTAAGGAATCACAACAAAGTTATTAATATTCAGAATTTGACCAGAAATTCATGCCCAAAAAAATTAGGTTTCCGAAAGTTTAAACAACTTTAATTATTTATTTATGAGCAACGCATGTTTAAGAATATGATAGTTCTGTGCAAAATGTAATTTGAATGACGCTGAATGTTGATGATTTTTTAAAATTTTTCTCACGTGATTTCATTGTCAAATTTGACGGTTGAAAAAGGTTGAATCTATACTGTGATCTAGACATCACTTTTAGAAATGATTGTGCAAAGAGAGAAAGAAAATTGGTCGTGGAGTTGTGTTTTTCACGGCATACTTGGACTCAGCATCCAACAATTTTTAACACTTGCATGTCTTACACGATATTAATTCCACATGTACTTTTACACACGATAAAATAACGCGCAAATGGTCAGAAGAAATTATGTTTGTTTATTCACAATTATTTTTCCACATAGTTTTTCAACACGGATGCCTTCTGCACATCTATATAACCCACACGATGTATCGCCACGCAAATGGTGTGCACCCTGAAGTTTAGCGCGGGCTCCTTAACCACAAATTTGAAATACACATGAGAGTTACACGTACAAAAGTTACACGTGTAGATTTCATTCATCATTGATTAACACAATCATATGGATTACTAGCCGTTTATGCACAATGAAAAATCACACCTATAGTTTTTATTTATTTTTATTTTGTTTTATATGTATACCCTCTCGGGTTTTTACATTTTTTGTTCCCTTCCCTATCTGCGTTACCATGGGCCGACTTACTTTATCCCCAACTGCACTCCATTCGGGATTGGACTGCCAGGGAAACCATAGAAAACCTCAGTCGTGCAGTCGGCCGATAATGCAGGGATTCCACTGTGTCCATTGGTCACACTGACTCAATGGGTACAGTGGTTCCCTACATTCGTGCCTAGCGACTGTAGTCCCACGCGGTTAGGTGTGCCTAAGCGGACACCCATCCAAGTACTGGGCAGACTGAACGCTGCTTAGCTTGGATGACCGCCGGAGCCACACACTCCCCGCGTGACCACTACAGCCACTTCCAATCACACCTATGATTTTTCTCGTTACGCGTATCAATGAATACACATTCAATCCAAAGACATTACTATTATCCACGCGAATGGTTCACACACTGCAGTTTTCCACTTTTTTTATCGGAGAGAATTCCACGAGTTGTCTCCTTGAGCTACATACTATTTTTCACACATTAGAAAAAATTATTACTCCGACGATTTGTACATATGAATATTTACGCACATAATGGATGCACTGACTACATTTCTACATGCGTTTATTCCCATCCAAATTATTACTCAATGTGTAATTCGATTTACACTAAACTAGGATGTGTAATTCAAACTTGTTCGTGTGTAATTCCAATTCTCATCTGTGTTATTTTATTTGACTGATGTGTAATTCCATTTACAACTCAGAGTATAATTTTCTTACGGGAATAATCATGTTTCTGAAGTCTGAGGTGCACGTCTTTATGATCTCACGTAGTCCTGATGACCACCTGATATTCAAATCAAATACAAATTCCTTCCCACCCGAGTCAAAATTTTACCGGATCTCCCGACGTAGTTGCAACGTTTTGAAACTACATTGCTTTGATGTTCAAATTCTCCGCCGAATTTTCACTGTACTTTTAACTTATCCTCAACGTGAAGGCCCATGGACGTTGAAAAACATTCAATATCCACCGTATATTAAACGTACTCTCAACGTTAATGACGTGTGTTTTCTGTTAACGTACGTTGTAAGTTTCGACGTCCACATTTGATTGTATCAAGGTCATTATTGACGATAATTAAAAAATTCATGACCGTGTTAAAGACTCACGTAACTAAATTATTAGTGTTAGTACATTAATAACATTAGTTCGAAGTTCAAACAATCGTGCGTCTGAAGGGTGAGTTGGGTCCAAGGGTCAGAACGGTTAGTTGAGTATAAGGATCAATTGAGTATAAGGGTCAGATGAGTACAAGGGTGAATTGAGTCCAAAAGATTACGCGAATCTAAGGGTCAGATAAGTGAAAGCCTCAGTTGAGATTGAATGTCAGTTGAGTCCAAGGATTTGTTTTGTAAGGGTGAAATAATTAAAAACCTCAGTTGAGTTCAACTGTCAGTTGCATTTAAGGGCCAGTTGTGTGTAAGAGTCAGTTGAGTATATGGGTCAGATGAGTGCGAAGGCCCTATTGGGCCTGAGAGTCAGATCAGTCTAAGGCGAGGATAAGTGTCAACTGAGTCTGAGGGTCAGATCGATTCTGAGGGTCAGGTGAGCCAAAGGTCATCTGACTTTTAAATTGAACTGACCCTTAAACTCAACTCAGCCTTTTACTCGCCAGACCCTTCGTACTCTTTTGAACCTTAGGCTCAACTGACTCGTAGATTCGCGTGATCCTTCACACTCAACTGACCCTTAAATCCGCCTGACCCTTTTTAGTTGTTTGACCCTTAGACTCAACTGACTCTTAGATTCGCCTGATCCTTCGGACTCCAATAACCCTTAGACCCATCTGAACCTTAAACTCAACTGACACTTGGACGGGATTGACCTTTAAACTGAACTGAAGCATTTGCGTATCTGACCCTTACTGAACAGACCCTCAAATTCGCATGATCCTTCGGCCTTAACTAATCCTTAGGCTCATCTGACCCTTAAACTCAACTATCACCGAGACGCATCTAACCTTTAAACTAAACTGAGACTTCTACTTATCTGACCCATACTCAACTGACCCTTATATTCGCCTGACCCTTCTTACCCTTTTGACCCTCAGATTCGTGTGATTCTTCGGACTCTGCTGACCCTTATATCCATCTGGCCCTATGCTGTAGGTTTTACGCTTATTGATAAAAAAATCCATCTGGCCCTCATACTCATCTGATCCTTATACTCATCCGACCCTTAGATTCATTTGACCCTTAAACTCAATTGACCCTCAAATTCGCGTGATACTTC